CTTCCGGAGTCCCCACAGCAGAATGGGGTTGCTGAGCGTCGCATAGGCCTGGTCATGGAGATTGCCCGCACCTCCTTGACTCACGCCCGTGCCCCCCATTTCCTGTGGCCATACGCGGTCAGGTACGCCGCGCACCAGCTGAACCTCTGGCCACGCGTCTCTCGGCCGGAGGCTTCACCGACCAGTCTTTGGACAGGGTCCCCTGGTGTCGCGTCGAGGTTTCGTGTCTGGGGGTGCTTGGCTCTTGTCCGCGACACCTCCGCGGACAAGCTCTCGCCTCGCGCCGTTCCTTGTGTCTTCCTTGGTTTCCCTGAGGACTCCTCTGACTTCACCTTTTACCACCCTCCCTCTCACCGGTTCTTTGACTCCCGTGACGTCCGTTTCGAGGAGTCCACCCCCTACTACGTCAGGTACCCCAGTCGAGGTCTCCCGGTCCCTCCCCCCCCTCTCTTCCTGACCGCCGCTCCCCCGCCTGCTCCCCCGGTACAGCCTCCCCCCCCTGGTCCAGCCCCGTCTGGTGTGTCTCAGGCTAGCCCTCCCCCTTCGGTAGCCCCCCCTGTACAGCCTCCCTCCCCACAGTCTTCCTCGCCGCCTCCTGCAGGTGCTCCCTCTCGAGAGGTTGGTCCTGCGACTGTCCCTGTACAGGTCTCTGGTTCTGGGGGTGCTGGAGTTGGAGCTGAGCCGCGGGTTGCAGAGGACTCTTGTCTTCCGGGGGCTGGTACTGGTCGTGCGGAGTCTGGGGGTGCTGGTGCGGAGTCTGGGGGTGCTGCGTCTGGGGGTGAGGGTGTCCCTTCGGTTTCTGGAGAGCCTGGGTCTGGAGCTGGTGTTGGTGCTGCCTCTGGGGGTGGTGTGCTTGGTGCTTCGGAGGTCGACTCTGGGGCTGCCCCGGACACTACTCCTTCCCCCCACCCCTACCCGACCAGGTTCCAGGCTCGTGTTCGCCGTGCTCGTGAGGAGCAGCTGGAGTTGGAGAGAGAGGAGAGAGAGTTGCAGCGGCTCGAGGAGCAGGAGCGACAGCAGCAGGAGCAGCAGCAGGAGCAGCAGCAGAGGCAGCAGCCGCTGGAGCAGCAGCAGCCGCAGCAGCCGCAGCAGCAGCAGCAGCAGCTGCTGCCGTCTCCTCCTCCTGTCTCGGGTCTTCGGACCCTTGGTCTCCCGTCTCCCTCTCCTTCCTCCTCCCCCTCTCCTCCCGTCTCTGGTCCTCCGCTTCCTCCTCCTGACCCCTCTCCCGCTGTTTTCCCTCGTCCTCAGTCTTCGTTGTCTCCTCCTCCTTCTCAGACTTGGGCCTCTCGTCGCTCCCCTCGTGCTCGTCCCTCGTCTCCTGTTCCCTTCACTGACCTTCGTACAGCCTTCCTTTGTTCTCGTCCACCTCGTCCGTCTCCGTCTGTGCTTCCGTCTCCTCCTGAGTCGGCCCTCACTGTGTCGCTTCCTTCTCCTGTCACTGACTACTACCGCACGTACCGTCCTCTTCTCTCTCGTGTTCTCGCCTCTCTTGTTACCCACCCTCGTGCCTCTGTGTCCTCTGTGTCCGCTCTTACTGCCGCAGTCACTGAGTTTGCCTCTACCCGCCGCCTTGACTTCGCCACCGCTCTTGTGGCTGCTCCTCCTTCCAGTCCTCTGGCCGTCGGGGGTGTGTCTGCCCTTGGCAGTGACGCCCTAGAGGACAGGCAGTTTGAGCTAGAGTTCCTGGCGGCCGCTTCCCCTCATCTCTGTGCCATGCTCCTCGCCCCTGAGGGTGACCCCGACGCCCTTGACATTCCGACTCCTCGCACTTACGCTGAGGCAGTGTCAGGGCCTTGGGCCTCTCAGTGGAGAGCTACCATGGACGCAGAGATGGCCTCCTACAGATCCACAGGCACCTACGTCGATGAGGTTCCCCCTCCGGGGGCGAACGTAGTCGACGGCATGTGGATCTACAGGGTGAAGCGGCCACCGGGATCTCCTCCGGTCTTCAAGGCGCGCTACGTGGCTAGAGGTTTCAGTCAGCGCGAGGGAGTTGACTTCTTTCAGACCTTCGCGCCCACCCCGAAGATGACCACTCTTCGGGTGTTACTACACGTAGCAGCACAGAGAGACTACGAGTTACACTCTCTCGACTTCTCTACTGCTTTCCTTCAGGGCAGTCTTCACGAGGAGGTCTGGTTGCGTCGTCCCTCTGCCTTCACTGGCTCTTTCCCTCCTGGGACCCAGTGGAGGCTGAGGCGACCGGTTTACGGTCTTCGTCAGGCTCCTCGTGAGTGGCACGACACCCTGCGTTCTACCCTGTCTGACCTTGGGTTCCAGCCGTCTTCTGCTGACCCGTCGCTGTTCGTTCGTCGTGGCCCCACACCTTTCTTTGTTCTGGTCTACGTTGACGACCTTGTTTTCGCCACCCCTGACAGGGTTGCTTTGGCACACGTGAAGTCCGAACTGCAGAAGAGACACACCTGCACTGATCTTGGTGAGCTGCGCCACTACCTTGGCCTGCAGATCACCAGGGACAGAGCTGCTCGCACCATTACACTTTCACAGTCGCACATGGTGCAGCAGGTCCTTCAGCGGTTCGGGCTTCAGCACTCCACAGTACAGCGCACACCTCTTGCTGTTGACCACAGACTCACTGGACCCTTTCCTGACGAGCCGTTCGAGCCTAGTGGTCCCTACGCAGAGCTTGTGGGTTGCCTCATGTACCTGATGACTTGTACTCGCCCGGACCTCGCCTTCCCTCTCAGCGTTCTTGCGCGCTTTGTTGCGCCAGGGAGACACCGTCCTGTTCACTGGACAGCAGCTGTGAGGGTGGCGAAGTACCTAGCGACGACATCAGGCGTGGGGCTAGTAGTCTGTCGTACTTACTGGTCACTGTGACTCCTCTTACGCTGACGACGCTGAGACTCACAGGTCTACTCAGGGGTACTGTTTCAGCCTGGGTTCTGGAGCTGTTTCCTGGCGGTCCACGCGCTCCTCTTCGGTCTCGACCTCTACAGCTGAGGCTGAGATCTACGCTGGTGCCATGGCGGCACAGGAGCTGCGTTGGTTGACCTTCTTGCTCACCGACCTTGGTGAGCGGCCGAGCTCTGCACCGACCTTGTTCACTGACAACAAGGCATCTATTCTCCTTTGTCGAGAGCCACGACTGGAGAGCAGAGTGAAGCACATTCACGTCAGGTACTTTCTTCTGCGAGAGTTGCAGAGGCGTGGACAGGCTCGCTTTGAGTTTGTGGAGTCAGAGGCCAACACTGCAGACATCTTCACCAAGGCGCTTCCGCCTTGTGACCACCAGAGGTGCTGTGTGCAGTTAGGCCTTGTTGACACTGGTTCTCGTGTTGCTTAGACTTGAGTGTACTGTTTACTTTGCTTTCTATATATCTCTGTTACTTCTTGGACTGGCCTTGTGGCCACTGTTGTTTGTGCTCAGACTGTGTGGTGACGTTGTGATCCACCCTGAGCTTTGTTTCTTGGACTGGTCTTGTGACCGTACTCGTTTGGTTCTGCTAGACACCCCTCACTTAGGCTATGGGGGTGTGTCAAATGTTGTAGCCTATAGTGAGGTTTGTCTTAGGGGGTACAAAACTTAGGGTTAGCTATATGTACCCCAACCAACATCAATGCATCATCCATTCTTCATTCTGACAGTTTCGCCATATCTCAGTGTTTCACCATTCCTCACTGTTTCACCATGACTCCACCCTTTCACTGTACCTAACTGTTTCACCATATCTCATTGTTTCACCATACCTAACTGTTTCACCATTCCTCATTGTTTCACCGTACCTCACTCTTTCACTATACCTCTCTGTTTCACCATAACTCACTGCTTCGCCATACTAAACTGTTTCACCATATATCTCATTGTTTCACCATATCTCACTGTTTCACCATACTGGACGTCTTCGTGCATTGCGTTGAATGAAAGCATAGCAGACCATGCATGTGTAATTTAGATGAGTACGGTAGTTTGAAAAAATAGAATATCATGGAACAACGTAATTACATTTGTTTTTGTTATAACACAAAATGTGTGTATGAGATATAATGTTTCAAGCTATAATAAGTTGAACTTGTGCCCACAAAATTTTGACAAAAGAACCTCGAATAAGTCCTATAAGCAGGTTCGTAGCTGGCTATGCCTGGCTTCTTCACTTGGCCTGGTATGCTCAGGTCGTGTCCGTAGGGATGACATGTCAAAGTGGGCAGTGTCAATTTGGCATTTTGACACTCAGCCAACATTGTTGGCAGGGTGTCAAGAAATTGCAGGTTGCCATCCAATAAAAATCGTCGGACACTTTCTAAATTGGCACAGTCAAACCTACAAACGAGAGAAGATTGTCGCAGGTGCCTATCTCACGACCAGATGCTGCCCAATCAGCACACAATCTGTCTTCTGATTTGTTCGCTACCTGGCAGATCCACCCATGACAAATTCTCAAACCAATGAAATTCCGTCGCTGATGTTCGTACATGCGCTTCGACTTGACACTTCAGCTACAGAGTTTGACACTCTAATTTGAATGCGGTTCGGGTTGACACGCTCTCATTTGACATGTCAACCCTACGGACACGAACTCAAGGTCCGAAATTCGCTCCGAGCCCCAGTGCCCAACCTTGCTGGTTTCGCCCAGCCAAAACTCCTCTTCTTCGCGCCGAAAGGAGCAGCGACAACCTCGGGTGCTCTGGCAGAGCTTTTTGTCATCATTCTAGAGCGGTTAGGTAGGGTTTCTATTAGTAATGAACTCTTCTCACCCAAACCTCAGATATCGTGGGATGTTTTCAGGGGAGTGCGAGTGACTTTGTGCCCAACCAAGCCAATTTCGCGAGGTTCTCCCCCCACAGCAGCACATCTGCCAACACCAGCCAAAAGTCTGCCTACAAATCCACCATGCCAGCCTTATCTCACTCATCACAAGCTTCTACGCTGCTCGTTGTCCAAGTTCTGTTTACAACTTCCTTTCAACACAAGCTACTACGCTGCTGGTCTTCGTAATTCGGTTTACTTGCTCGTTCATTCAGTTCGAAATGGCCTCAGTCTACCCTTCATTTGTTTCTGCGCTTAGCTTTTGGAGGAACGGCGAGAAAAAGGCAAAGTCGTGCCTGCAGCGTGCGAGTTCCAACAGCAGCACCAATCTTGTTCCCCCACCCATCGCTGCAGCTACACTGCTGCTAGAGCTGCCGGCGGTGACGTCAGATGCTCCAGGAGTGTCGGGCGCTGAAGCGTCGTATGCTGAAGCGTCGCATGCTGAAGCGTCGTATGCTGAATTGTCGCATCTGGAAGCGTCGCATTCCGAAACGTTTGATGCTGCTAAAGCTTTTGATGCTGCAGCTTCAAATGCCGAACCGTCCGACTCTGAAGCTTCGAAAGCGGAACTGTCAGAACCTGCAGCGCAGGATGCGGAAGCCACGGTTACGAAATTGTCGGATGCAGCATCGCATGCTGCTGCATCATCCGATCCTGCAGCATCATCCGATCCTGCAGCATCATCCGATCCTGCAGCATCATCCGAACCTGCAGCTGCGGAAGCGAAACTAGCAGATCCTATAGCGCAGTATGTTGAAGCCTCGAATGCGAGATTGTCGGATGCAGCAGTCACTATCGTTGCAGCTTCGCATGCCGCAGCATCACACCTGCTTGTTTCACCCCCGACGGTTCTATCCCCGGCAAGCTGCGCCAAGTCAGTAAGTGCGGTCGTAGCGTCGCGCATTCCGAAACCGAGCAAGGGAGTAGCGATTAGGAGGCGAATAGAGGGAACGACACTAATTCCCAGGCCTAAATGTGCCGCACCGCACAGGGAGGTGAGGGGAGTGGAAGTTGAAGCTGCAGGCAAGTGGCCTCGCAGGACGTCCAAGGCCGTGCCGGCTGCAATCCCACGCCGGCCATGGCGCCCTTGACTGCTGCACGCATGGAAAAGGGAAAAAAAAAGAAAGAATGAAAACGATATGACTGGAATTAAAAAAAAAAAAAAAAGATTAAATGGAGGTTGAAAAGAGGAGAGCTTGGGGTATGAGATGGAGGGATGGCATAAAAGGGATGTGCAAGCAGCGGAGCACAACACAGTTGCACGCCAAGAGAGCTGACTGGGGGATGGGTGTGGTGTGGATGGGGAACACGGTGGCACTACCCTTTTTTGCGCCCTGCTTCACTGCAGGGTGTTTGTGGGAGTGTGGTGGGTGGTGATGGTTGGAGGGGGTGAGGGAAAGCTGTTTGCTGCTGTGCCTTTAATGCACCACTGCTACTAGGCTTGAGCGCTCCTGACGGGTGGCTCCAGGCTTGTGCGCTCCTGACGGATGGCTCCAGGCTTGAGCGCTCCTGACGGATGGCTCCAAGCTCGAGCGCTCCTGACGGATGGCTCCAGGCTTGAGCGCTCCTGACGGATGGCTCCAGGCTTGAGCCTTGTAGGGAGAGTTAGAAACTAGGCAACATGACAACTATGTGCTGTAGACCCTGCGTTTGATATAGTTGCTTATACACTGTTATGCCTTGTATTCCATGTGCACTTGCAATTCGTGATTGGGTATGGGCGTTTGATTCACAATGACAGCCCGAAGCAGAAATCATACAACAATGCTGCAGTGCACTGCCATCTCCCTGTGAATTCCTATGCTCTCTTATCGTTCTATTTTCCCATGTGCCCCGATTCACCATCTCTCCCTGTTTTCCTATGCCTTACTATTTCCCCCTCTCCCTGTTTCATCATCTCTCACTGATTCCCCATGTCTCCCTGTTTTCCCATTCCCCTTATTTCATAATGTCTCCATTTTCCCCATGCCTTCTTGTTTCCATTCTCACTGTTTTCTCATGCCTCCCTGTTTCCCTTCCCCATGTTTCCATTTTTCCCTATGTCTCGCCTTTCCCCCATTTCCCTATCTTTCCTTCCCCACGTATGTCTGTTTCTCCATGTCTTTCTGTCTCTTTGTTTATCCATCCCTTCCTTTTACCCCATGTCCCGTCCCGTAGGTTCCCATTTCCCTATGTTTCCCCATGTCTTTTTGTTTCCCCATGTCTCTCCTTGCCCCCATTGCCCTATGTTTCCCCATGTCTTCCCGTCTTCCGATATCTCTAATTTTCCCCATTTTCCTCACCATCTCTCTCTGTTTCCTGATGCCACCCTGTTTCCACATGACTCCCCTTTTCCCCATATCCCTGATTCCACATCTCTCCCTGCTTCTTGATGCCTACATGACTCCGTTTTTCCCCATCTCCCTGATTCCACATCTGTCCCTGTTTCCTGATGCCATACTGTTTCATCGTGCCTCCCTGTTCCCCATGCCCCCTTTTTCCCCACGTCTCTCTATTTCCCCATGCCTTCTTTTTGCCCATGTCTCGTTTCAACATGCCTCCATGTCTCCCCAATTCACCATGCCTCCCTGTTTTCACATGTGTCTGTGTTTTCTTAGGCCTCTTCGTTTCTTCATGCCTTACTATTTCCTCATTTCGCGAGTTTTTCCCATGTTCCTTGTTTCCCCATCTGTCCCTTTTTCCCTATCTCTCTAATTCCACATCACTCCATGTTTCACCAAGTCTCACCATTTCCTCGTGTCCCCCTGCTTCCCCATGCCTCACCATCTCCCCATGTCTCCCTTGTCTCCTTGTCACTCCCTGTTTCCCCATACCTCCCTGTTTCCCCATACCTCCCTGTTTCACCTTGTCTCCCTTCCCTGTCATTCCCTCTCTCCCCACCTCACTGTTTCAGCTTGTCTCCCTGTCACTCCCTGTTTCCCCAAACCTCACTGTTCCCCCCTAAACCCCGATTCCTCATGTTTCGCTCGTCTCCCACCATGTCCCACCATGCCCTCTGTTTCCCTCACTCCATGTTTCGCTCGTCTCCCACCATGTCTGCAGTTTCAAGCCTACGCCACCCGCTTCCCCCATGCCCCTCTGTTCCCCACCTCGCCCTAGTTCAGAATTCTCTAATTCCCACGCCACCCTGTGTTCACCCCGTCACCCGGTTTCCTTTATCCCACTTCTCTCCTTTCCCTGCGAGCCCCTGTTTCTTCCTCCATGTCTCTAGTTTTCATCATGTCACAACTCGGTAGTAACCCATACCACCTTGTTCCCTCATCCCTCTCCTTTATGCCATCCCTCTGTCTTCCCTCATGCCTCACTTTTTCACCAAACCCCACTGTTTCACCATGCCCCACTGTTTCACCACACCTCACTGTTTTACCATACCTAACCATTTCAAAATTCCTCACTGTTTCGCCATACCTCAGTATTTCACCATTCCTCACTGTTTCACCATTATTCACTGTTTCACAATACCTAACTGTTTTACCATACCGCATTGTTTCACCATACTTCACTCCATATCTTACTGTTTCACCATTCCTCATTGTTTCACCATTACTCACCGTTTCACCATACATGGCTGTTTCACCATACCACACTATTTCAGCATACCTCACTGTTTTTCCATGCCTAACTGTTTCACCATACCTCATTGTTTCACCATACGTCACTAATTCACAATACCTCACTGTTTCACCACACCTCATTGTTTCACCATATCTCACTGTTTCACCCTCACTGTTTCACCACACCTCACTGTTTCGCCATATCTCAGTGTTTCACCATTCCTCACTGTTTCACCATGACTCCACCCTTTCACCATACCTAACTGTTTCACCATATCTAACTGTTTCACCATTCCTCATTGATTCACCATACCTCACTCTTTCACTATACCTCACTGTTTCACCATACCTCACTGCATCGCCATACTAAACGGTTTCACCATATCTCATTGTTTCATCATATCTCACTGTTTCACCATACTGGACGTCTTCGTGCATTGCGTTGAATGAAAGCATAGCAGACCACACATGTGTAATTTAGATGAGTACGGTAGTTTGAAAAAAATAGAATATCATGGAACAACGTAATTACATTTGTTTTTGTTATAACACAAAATGCATGTATGAGATATAATGTTTCAAGCTATAATAAGTTGAACTTGTGCCCACAAAATTTTGACAAAAGAACCTCGAATAAGTCCTATAAGCAGGTTCGTAGCTGGCTATGCCTGGCTTCTTCACTTGGCCTGGTATGCTCAAGGTCCGAAATTCGCTCCGAGCCCCTGTGCCCAACCTTGCTGGTTTCGCCCAGCCAAAACTCCTCTTCTTCGCGCCGAAAGAAGCAGCGACAACCTCGGGTGCGGGCAGCCTCGCGAAATTGGCTTGGTTGGGCACAAAGTCGCTCGCACTCCCCTGAAAACATCCCACGATATCTGAGGTTTGTGTCAGAAGAGTTCATAACTAATAGAAACCCTACCTAACCGCTTTAGAATGATAACAAAAAGCTCTGCATCCGAATAATCTGGATTTTGGAGCCCCCAGAGCTCCCCGCGGCGCAAGACCCGCCCTTCCGTGGCTGCGGTGTTCCGCTTTTCCCTCCCCAAGCCTCAAGTCTCTCTCTCTCCGCATCTCGCTGCATCTCCCTTCTCCCCCCACAGCAGCACATCTGCCAACACCAGCCAAAAGTATGCCTACAAATCCGCCATGCCAGCCTTATCTCACTCATCACAAGCTTCTACGCTGCTCGTCGTCCAAGTTCCGTTTACAACTTCCTTTCAACACAAGCTACTACGCTGCTGGTCTTCGTAATTCGGTTTACTTGCTCGTTCATTCAGTTCGAAATGGCCTGCTGCTAGAGCTGCCGGCGGTGACGTCAGATGCTCCAGGAGTGTCGGGCGCTGAAGCGTCGTATGCTGAAGCGTCGCATGCTGAAGCGTCGTATGCTGAATTGTCGCATGAGGAAGCGTCGCATGAGTCGTCTGTTGAAGCGTCGCATTCCGAAACGTTTGATGCTGCTAAAGCTTTTGATGCTGCAGCTTCAAATGCCGAACCGTCCGACTCTGAAGCTTCGAAAGAGGAACTGTCAGAACCTTCAATGCAGGATGCGGAAGCCTCAGTTACGAAATTGTCGGATGCAGCATCGCATGAGGCTGCATCATCCGATCCTGCAGCTGCGGAAGCGAAACTGGCAGATCCTGTAGCGCTGGATGTTGAAGCCTCGAATGCGAGATTGTCGGATGCAGCAGTCTCTATCGTTGCAGCTTCGCATGCCGCAGCATCAGACCCGCTTGTTTCACCTCCGACGGTTCTATCCTCGGCGGCTTGCGCCAAATCCGTAAATGCGGTCGTAGCGTCGCGCATCCCGAAACCGAGCAAGGGAGCAGCGATTAGGAGGCGAGTGGAGGGAACGACACTGATTCCTAGGCCTAAAAGTGCCGCACCGCACAGGGAGGTGAGGGGAGTGGAAGTTGAAGCTGCAGGCAAGCGGCCTCGCAGGACGTCCAAGGCCGGCTGCAATCCCACGCCGGCCATGGCGCCCTTGACTCCTGCACGCATGAAAAAAGGGGGAAAAAAGGGAAGAAAGAGAAAAAGCTATCACTGAAATTCTTGAAAAAAAAAAAGAAACAACAAACAAAAAGAACAGAGGAGAGCTTGGGGTATGAGGTGGAGGGATGGCATAAAAGGCATGTGCAAGCAGCGGAGCACAACACAGGTGCACGCCAAGAGAGCTGACTGGGGGATGGGTGTGGTGTGGATGGGGAACACGGTGGCACTACCCTTTTTTGCGCCCTGCTTCACAGCAGGGTGTTTGTTGGAGTGTGATGGATGGTTGATGGCTGGAGGGGGTGAGGGAAAGCTGTTGTGCTGCTGTGCCTTCAATGCACCACTGCTACTAGGCTCGAGCGCTACTGGCGAATGGCTCCAGGCTTGAGCCTTGTAGGGAGAGTTAGAAGCTAGTCAATATCACAACTATGTGCCGTATTTCCTGCCTTGATGTAGTTGCCTAAACACTGTTAAGCCCTGTCATTCATAACCACTTGCTATTGGTGATTGGTTATTGGCTTTTGATGATAACTTGATGAAATGATATCCGCACAACAACAATACAACAACTCTGCAATGCACTGCCATATCTCTGTTTTCCCATTTTTTATTTTCCCATGCCTCCCTGTTTTCCCGTGCCTCCCTGTTTCCCCATGTTTCCTTGTTCACCCATGCCTTCCTTTTTCCCCATGTCCCCCTTTTTTCCCATGCGTCTGTGTTCTTCCCATGTTCACTGTTTCCCCTTCTCCACATCTCTCCCTCATTCCACGTCTCTTCTTGCTTTTACCAAGTCTCACCTTTTCTCCAAGTCCCCCCAGTGACCCATGCCTCACCAATTCCCTGTTTCTCTTAGTCTCCCCCTGTCACTCAACGTTTTTCCATGTCTCCCTGTTTCCCGATACCTCACTACTTCACCTTGTCTCCCCTCCCTGTCACTCCCTGTTTCCTCATACCTCACTGCTTCGCTTTGTCCCATGCCTCTCCGTTTCACCATACTTCCGTTTCCCATGTCTTCTTTATTTCCCAATCCCCCCTGTCTTCATGTTTCACCACGTCTCCCTGTTTCCCCAATGCTCAGTGTTTCCCCATGTCTTCTTTCTTCGTGTCTCCCCTTGTTTGTTACCATGTCTCCCTGCTAACTTCCTTGTTTCCTCATGCTCCCTTGATTCCCTTTTATCCCTTCTGTCCCATGCCTACCTACTTATATGTCTCCCCGTTATTCTCTCTTTCCCCCATATCTCCCTTCTTTCCCATGCCTACCTGTTTTTTTGTTTCCCCGTTAATCTCTCTTTCCCCCATATCTCCCTTCTTTCCCATGCCTACCTGCTTATTTATTTCTCCGTTATTCTCTCTTTCCCCCATATCTCCCTTCTTTCCCATACCTACCTGCTATTTTTGTTTCCCCGTTATTCTCTCTTTTCCCCATATCTCCCTTCTTCCGCATGCCTATCTGCTATTTTTGTTTCCCCGTTATTCTCTCTTTCCCCCATATCTCCTTTCTTTCCCATGCCTACCTGCTTTTTTGTTTCCCCGTTATTCTCTCTTTCCCCCATATCTCCCTTCTTTCCCATGCCTACCTGCTTTTTTGCTTCCCCGTTATTCTCTCTTTTTCCCCATGTCTCCCTGCTTCTTTATTGCCCATAATTCCGACATCCCCCTTTCACCAGTCTCTTTGTTTCTCCATGCCTCCCTTTTTCCCCATGCCCCCTTGTCTCCCCATATCCCTGTTTTCTCATGCCTCCCCCATTCCTTATGTTTCCCAATGACTCCATGTTTCCCCATGTTTCCGCATATGCCACCTGGTTCCCCCATGCCCCTCTATTTCCCATGTCTCCCTAGTTCAAAACGCTCTAATTCCAACGTTACTCTTGTTTCACCGTGTTTCCCTGTTTCCTATACCTCCTTGTTCCCTGCTTCCCCATGTTTCCGTGTGTCTCCAACTCTCCCTGTTAATCAGGTCGCCCTGCTTCCCCATGCCTTCCTGTTTTCAAACGCTCCAACTCCCCAGCCCACCTGTTTTCCCCATCTCTCCCTTTTTTCCCCATTCCTCCTTGCTTCCCCATTCCTCCTGTTTCATCATGATTCATGGTTTCCCCATGCCTCCCTGTTTTCCCATACCTCCCTGTTTTCCCATGCCTCCCTTCTTTCCCCATGTCTCCCTTTTTTCCCCCATGCCTCCCTTTTTTCCCGATGCTCGTTCCCCATGCCTCCTTTTTTTCCCATGCCTCCCTGTTTCTCCATGCCTCCCTTTTTTCCCATGCCTCCCTTTTTCCACGTGCCTCCCTTTAATTCCCATGCCTCCCTTTTTTCCCCATGCATCCCTTTTTTCCCCATGCCTCCCGGTATCCTCATGTCTCCTTGTCATGCGTTATTGTTTCCCCCTGCACTCCCAGATTCCCCGTGCTTTCCTTTTTCTCCATTCTTGTCTAATGCCTGACTATTTCCCCATGCCTCCGTGTATCCCCATAGTTCCCTGTATCCCCATGTCTCCCCAGTACAACATGTCTTACTGATTCACCAGATCGTTTTGCTTCCCCCTATCTTCCTTTTTTCACATGTTTTCTATCTTCCTGTTTTCAAATGTCTACCAATTTCCCCAAGTTTCCCCTTTACCCCATTCCTCACTGATTTCCCAAGCTTCCATTTTGTCCTATTTGTCTAATTCCCCAGCCCTCCCTGTTTCCACATGATTCCCAGATTTCCCAATCTTCCCTTTTTCCACATTCCTCTCTGGTTTCCATGCCTACCTGTTCCTCTTGTCTCCCATCTCCCCAAGGCTTCCCATTTCCCCATTCTCCTCTGTTTCCACATGTCCCCCGATTTCCCCCCAGCTTCCCTTTTCCCCAATCCCAATGTTTCCCCTTGTCTCACATTTTCCCAAAATTTCCCTGATTCTCTGATTCCTCATGCCTCCCTGCTTCTCGTGTCTCCTGATCTCCCCACGCTTTCCCTTTTCCCTATGCACTTTAAAAATCACCAGTCAGAACATCATGTCTAAATGGGAGGTGAGTAGCGAGGTTTTTTTGTGGGAAGGGGCGTGTCACTGTTGAAAGGTGGTCGGGCAAGGCTGGCGGAGTGCAGTCGATGGATTCTGGCACGTGTGAGCAACCAGCCACACTCTGCATCACGTGCCTCGCACTCTACGCGCACTGCGAATTCTGTTTCACCTCGATCCGAACAATCAAATTATCCGAATACAGAAATTATGTGCTAAACGGTGTCATTTAGATTTAAATATGTCATTATACAATAACACCCATGGGTTGTAAGCTTACACTGGCCCCAAGATTGACACCCGCTAAAGAAGGGCAGTTATCGGTGCGGGTTGCATGGAAACAAGGTACATTAATGCATATCTGTAATCGCTATAACACAATGCATGTACCTTATGAGGCAGAATATTTGAGGCAGGGCCCACGTTATCAGGGCAAAACATCCTGATTACCCTGAATTCAGGATGCACTTCTGTATTTACCCTGCAATTTCAGAATAGTCATAATTTTAACCCTGAGGACACTGGATGTTTTTATGTGAAATGCCCTGGAGTTTCAGGATGGCCGTAGTGTTCTTCCCTGTAGCGTCAGGATGAATGTCGAGGCCTGCCCTGACGCGGATTTTGGGGGGGGGGGGGGGGGGGGGGGGGGGGGGGGGGGAGGGTAAGGGGGGGTGTTCCGTTTCGGGGGGGAATTTTTTCCCCGAGGATTTTTGTCTCCGTTGAAATTTTCCCCCGTGTACGTTTCCCGCCTTCGCACGTTCTCTTCCCCTTGACATTTCCGATCCCCCGCTACACCAGCCAAGCCAACCCCACCCCATCACCCACCGCCAAGGCAACTCGTCCTCTGCCTGGCTAGCTCTAGCTGGGTTTCTCACGCTGACGTTCAGTAGCACTCCATCCAACACCCTTGCAGTGTTGCTGTTAGAGTAGCAGCAGCACTAGTAGTGAAGTTCGGCTGCGGCTGCTCTGCTATGCTAAACAGAGTCTGGTCTGGTCTGTTTGTGATAAAATCAGAACCCTGAACACTACAATTTTTGCCCTGACAGGTCAGGATTATTTTCTGCAAAAGCCCTGACCAATCAGGAAGGCTCTGAAGATTTGCCCTGAGAAATCAGTGTTAAACTGTATTATGTTGGTAGGCTGTAGTGGGGTAGCCAATATGGGGTACAACCCCAACTAGGGTTTGCTACTTGTACCCAATTCTTCCATTCAATGCATCATTCTTGCCTAGTTCTTCTGAAATGGTATTCAGAGCAGGAGGTCCCTAGGACCTACCGACCGTTTTTTTTTTTTAAGGGCCCACCACCGCTCGCATGCGGTTACCACGCTACCCCGTGCCCTAGCCTCGTAGCGCCCTCGTGCGCCCTCGTTAGCGCCCTCGTGCGCCCTCGTTAGTGCCCTCGTGCGCCCTCGTTAGTGCCCTCGCGCGCCCTCGTTAGCGCCCTCGTGCGCCTCTCGTTAGCGCCCTCGCGCGCCCTCGCTAGCGCCCTCGCGCGCCCTTGTTAGCGCCCTCGTGCGCCTCTCGTTAGCGCCCTCGCGCGCCCCTCGCAGCGTCGCCCGCCCGCCGAGCCGCCCGCTCGCAGCGTCGCCCGCCCGCCCGCTGCCCGCTTCGCAGCGTCGCCCGCCCGCCGTGCTGCCCGCTCGCAGCGTCGCCCGCCCGCCTCGCTGCCCGCTTGCAGCGTCGCCCGCCCGCCCGCTGCCCGCTTCGCAGCCCGCCCGCCGCGCTGCCCGCTCGCAGCGTCGCCCGCCCGCCCGCTGCCCGCTTGCAGCGTCGCCCGCCCGCCCGCTGCCCGCTTCGCAGCCCGCCCGCCGCGCTGCCCGCTCGCCGCGTCGCCCGCCCGCCCCGCTGCCCGCTTCGCAGCCCGCCCGCCGCACTTCCCGCCTGCAGCGCCGCCTGCCCGCCGCGCTGCCCGCTTCGTAGCCCGCCCCCCGCACTGCCCGCTCGCCGAGTCGCCCGCCCGCCGCGCTTCCCGCCGAGCTACCTACCTGCAGCGCTGCGGCAGCTTCCTTTGCTCAGTCGCACTGTCACTATGGCTTCCATCCGCGTGCTGTCGTTCGATGCTGAGGGCCGCCCTGTGAAGTTCGCCACTTGGCTGGATGACCTGCAGCTGTTCCTTCTGAGCGATAGCAAGGAGCATGTGTCGCTCTATGATTACGCGTCTGGTGCTGCACCTGCCCCTCCTGCCACAGCTGAGCTTAGTGTTCGTTCCCACTGGCAGACTCGTGACGCAGCTGCTCGCCTAGCCATTCGCAGTCACCTCCCGCTAGCTGAGCTCGAGCATTTTGGCGACTGCAAATCCGCTAAGGCCCTGTACGATGCTGTCGTTGCTCGCTACTCCTCGCCTGCCACAGCCGAGCTTAGCCGCCTCATGCTGCCGTACCTGTTCCCTGAGCTGTCCACCTTTGCTACAGTCGCCGATCTTATCACCCACCTTCGCACTAGTGATGCTCGCCTGCGTGCTGCCCTTCCCACCGAGTTCTGCGCTAAGAACCCCCCTCCACTGTACTGGACACTCCACTTCATAGTCACCCGACTCCCTGACACCCTCAGCTCAGTTCGAGACCACTTCCTTGCTCGCTGTCCCACTGAGCTCACAGTCGCCCTCCTAGAGGAGCAGCTGCTAGCGGCCGAAAAGAGCATTGTAGCTGTCGGTGCTGCTCGTGGCGCTCCTCGCACCCCCATCTTTGAGGGGTGTTCTCCCTCTCCCCTCGCTCCCTCCTACGCTACTGCTGCTGCTGTTGACTTCCTTGGTGCTGAGTCTGCTGGCGCTGCTTCTGCTCCTGGTGGGAGGCGCCGCACCGGCAAGGGCAAGGGGGGCAAGGGTGGCGGGGGTGGCGCTGGGGGGGGAGGAGGTGGGGGAGGTGGGGGGGGAGGCGGTGCTGGAGGGAGCGGTGGCGGGAGTGCTGGTGGGAGTGGGGTCGGCAGCGGAGGCGGGGGCGGCGGAGGGAGCGGTGGCGGTGGTGGCGGCGGCGGCGGTGGCGGCGGCGGCGGCGGCGGCGGTGGCGGCGGCGGCGGTGGCGGTCGGAGCGGAGGTAGTGGTGGTGGCGGAGGTCGGAGTGGAGGCACTGGCTCGGGCCAGAGCTCCCAGCAGCAGCAGCGTCCCCAGACGACCCAGCAGCTTCGTGAGTGGCTTGCTCAGCGTGGGACGTCGGGGGGCAATGGCCGCTGTTCCTATGTCATTCGCACAGGTGACCGCAAGGGACAGACGTGTGGGAGGTTCCACACCCCGTACCGCTGCTTCTCCCGCCTTGACGACGCTTGGCGTGAGGAGATGGGCGAGGATGTTGAGCGCCCCCGCTGGGCTGAGCTCATGAGGGCTGGTGTTGATATATTTGCTCTTGACTATGATGCTATTATTGCTGCCATGTATGCATTGACTGTTAGTGCCGAGGGAGACTGTTACTTGTGTGTGCCGCCTGACCCAGGTATAGAGCCCGCTGCCCTGGGTACTAGTGAGTCTGCTCTCTCCGGTATGGTGCCCCCTGTACTTGCTCCCTCCAGTGCTGTCCCGGCTGTTTGCGAGTCTGCTCTCTCAGGTACAGCACCCACAGAGACTGCTCTCTCAGGTACCGCACCGGCTGAGGCCTGTCACACCTTCACCCTTGACTCAGGTGCTTCCCGCTGTTTCTTTCGTGACAGTACTGAGCTCACACCGCTTCCTGCACCGGTCCCAGTCTCCTTGGCTGACCCCTCTGGGGGCCCAGTCCTTGCCCAGTCCACCACTGTGCTCCCTTGTCCGGCGGTTCCGTCTGGCTCGTTGTCGGGTTTCCACCTCCCCTCGTTCTCGACGAACCTGGTGAGCAACGCTGTCATCCAGGATCAGTGGGTTGACACCTTTACCCCTGGAGGACAGCGTGTGGCGATCTGCACGTGCTCCAGGACCGGCCGTCACCTGGCTACGTTTACCCGTCGGCCGGGGTCGAGTCTCTACACACTGACCACTGCGTCTCCTCAGGTCGCTGCTGTCGGTCAGGTGTCCGCGTCAGGTCTGGTGGCCCACGCCTGTGAGTGTCGTTCCCTGTCACACCAGACTCTTCTCTGGCACCACCGCCTGGGTCACCCCTCCTTGCCACGCCTCCGTGGCATGCACCGTCACCGCCTTGTGTCTGGTCTTCCCAGGTCTCTCCCTCCCCTCCCTGCCTCGCCTGCGCCGCCTTGCCTTCCTTGCGTCGAGGGGCGGCAGCACGCCGCTCCTCACTCCTCCTCGTTCCCCCCGACAGAGGCTCCTCTGCAGACCCTCCACCTGGACGTGTGGGGCCCAGCCCGCGTTCGTGGCCAGGGCGGTGAGCGGTACTTTTTGCTGGTTGTCGACGACTACTCGCGTTACACCACGGTCTTCCCCTTGCGCACCAAGGGTGAGGTCCCTGCTGTTCTGATCCCTTGGATCCGCACAGTTCGTCTCCAGCTCCGCCGCCGTTTCCGGACGGATCTTCCTGTCCTGCGTCTGCACTCTGACAGAGGTGGTGAGTTTTCCTCCGATCTCTTGAGGACCTTCTGTCAGGCGGAGGGCATCGAGCAGACCTTCACGCTTCCGGACTCCCCACAGCAGAATGGGGTTGCTGAGCGCCGCATTGGCCTGGTCATGGAGGTCGCTCGTACCTCCTTGGTCCACGCGGCGGCTCCCCATTTTCTGTGGCCGTTTGCTGTCCGGTACGCCGCGCATCAGCTCAACCTCTGGCCCCGTGTCTCCTTGCCGGAGACCTCTCCCACACTGCGTTGGACGGGGGAGGTTGGCGATGCGTCGCGCTTCCGGGTGTGGGGTGCTCGTGCCCTTGTCCGCGATACGTCCGCGGACAAGCTCTCCTCCCGCACACTTCCCTGTGTCTTCCTTGGCTTTGTCCCTGACGCGCCGGGCTGGCAGTTTTACCACCCCACCTCGCGCCGGGTCTTCGCCTCTCAGGACGTCACCTTTGACGAGTCGGTCCCTTTTTACCGTCTCTTCCCCTACCGCACTGCCCCCCTCCCTCCCCCACCGCTTTTCCTTGCTCCTGGTCCCCCTCCGGTAGACCCCCTTCCCCCTCAGGGTCCTGCTCCTTCAGGTGTTTCTCAGGTAGACCCTCCTCCCGTCACTGAGCCTGTCGAGGTCACAGGTGACTCAGGTGCTGCTGCAGGTGGTGCTGCTGGGAGTGCTGAGCCTGGGGGTGCTGAGCCTGCGGGTGCTGGGCCTGGGAGTGCTGGGACTGCGGGTGCTGGAGCTGAGGGTACTGTGCCTGGGAGTTCGGCGCCTGGGGGTGCTGAGCCTGGGGGTGCTACGACTGGGGGTGCTGAGCCTGCGTGTACGGAGTCTGGGGGTGCTGAGCCTGGGGGTACTGCGCCTGAGGGTACTGGGCCTGGGGGTGCTGCTGCTGAGCCTACGGAGCCTGGGGTTGCTGCGTCTGGGGGTGCTCTTCCTGACGGTACTGGAGCTGCTGGAGCTGACGGTTCTGGACACGGTGGTCCTGCTGGTTCTGGAGGTGCTGGCGAGGGGAGGTCTGACGCTGCTGGGGCCTCTGGTGCTGACGTCGCCGACTCGGGGGGTGCTGCGGCGGAGGGTGCTGGTCCAGGTGCTTCTGGTGCTCCGGGTGCTGGAGGTGCTGGCGGAGCTCCGCCGTCGCGCCTGTTCTTCGCTCCTCCGTCGCCGTCGGCTTTGCCGCCGCCTGACACGGTGCTTCGCCAGGTTCTTTCCCTCCCGTCTTCCACTGGCCTTCCCCTTCAGCCTGGCTCCCCCCTCCCTGCTCCTGTGCCTTACACTGCACAGCCGGACTCGCTTACGGAGCGTCGTGAGCCTGCGTCTCGTCCTGCCTCGCCTGTTCGCGCTGCTCGCGCTGCTCGCACTGCGCGCACTGGTCCCACTGGTCGTCGTGTCGCGCGTCCGCGTCCTCCTCCTGTTCCTGGCACGCATATTATGGCCCTTCGTCCTTCCACTGGTCCACAGCGTGTCCCCCTACCGTCTCCTCCTGCGTCTTCTCTTCCTGACGTTCCCGACCCTGAGTCTGACAGTGTTCGTGCTGCCCACCCTACTGTTACGCGTCTTCTCGCCACTGTTGTCACTGACCCGTCGTTTGAGTCTGCTGCTGCGTCTGCCCTGGTCGCTGAGCTTGTCGACTTTGCTGCTGCCTGTCGTCTAGACTACGCCGCCAGTCTTGTTACTGAGTCTGAGTCTGTCTGTCCTCCGTCCGTCGGGGGTGAGTGTGCTCTTGGCACGGACGTCCTTGAGGACAGGCAGGAGGACTTTGACTCTCTTGCGGCTGCTGTACCTCATCTCGTGGCCTGGTTGCTTGCCCCTGAGGGAGACCCGGATGCACTAGACATCCCCACTCCGCGCTCTTACGCAGAGGCGATCTCGGGTCCCTACTCCTCTCAGTGGCAGACAGCCATGGACGCAGAGATGGCATCCTGGAAGTCCACAGGCACCTACGTCGACGAGGTTCCCCCTCCTGGGGCGAACATCGTCGATGGCATGTGGATTTTCAGGGTGAAGCGGCCGCCAGGTTCTCCACCTGTCTTCAAGGCTCGTTACGTTGCTAGAGGCTTCAGTCAGCGTCAGGGGGTTGACTTCTTCCAGACCTTCTCCCCCACCCCGAAGATGACCACTCTTCGGGTTCTGCTACACGTTGCTGCTCAGCGTGACTACGAGCTTCACTCTCTTGACTTCAGCACAGCGTTCCTGCAGGGCAGCCTGCACGAGGAGATCTGGCTGCGCCGCCCACCTGGCTTTACTGGGTCGTTTCCTCCTGGTACCCAGTGGAGCCTCCGTCGGCCAGTCTACGGTCTCCGCCAGGCGCCACGTGAGTGGCACGACACACTGAGGACTACACTTGCAGCTCTTGGGTTCGCGCCGTCTACTGCTGACCCGTCGCTGTTTCTACGCACAGACACGTCGCTACCGCCGTTCTACATTCTCGTGTACGTCGACGACTTGGTCTTTGCTACTGCTGACACTGAGGCACTCGCTCGTGTGAAGTCGGAGCTGCAGAAGAGACACACCTGCACTGACCTGGGTGAACTGCGTAGCTACCTTGGCTTGCAGATCACCCGGGACAGAGCTCGCCGCACCATCACCCTGACTCAGTCACACATGGTGCAGCAGGTCCTTCAGCGCTTCGGCTTCCAGTTCTCCTCACCACAGGCCACACCTCTGGCTACCAGCCACTCGCTCTCAGCTCCACCTTCGGACGAGTCCGTAGAGCCGAGTGGCCCGTACCCAGAGCTTGTAGGCTGCCTCATGTACCTGATGACTTGCACGCGACCTGACCTCGCGTACCCACTTAGCATCCTTGCTCGTTACGTTGCGCCTGGGAGACACAGGCGAGAGCACTGGGAGGCTGCTAAGAGGGTGCTGCGTTACTTGTGCAGTACATCAGGCATGGGGCTGGTGCTTGGAGGACGCGACAGAGTTGTCCTCACTGGTCACTCGGACGCTTCTTGGGTGGACGACCTGGCTACGCAGCGGTCGTCACAGGGTTACACCTTCAGCCTTGGCTCTGGTTCTGTCTCGTGGCGGTCCACCCGCTCTTCTTCTGTTCTCGGCTCTAGTTGTGAGGCTGAGATCTACGCCACAGCCATGGCTGCACAGGAGTTACGCTGGCTCACCTACCTGCTGACTGACTTGGGAGAGCGGCCTAGTTCTCCTCCAGTTCTGTACGGTGACAACAAGGCGGCCCTTGCCTTGTGTCAGGAGCACAGACTGGAGCACAGGACGAAGCACATTGCTCTTCGCTACTTTCTTGCTCGAGAGCTTCAGCAGCGCGGTCAGCTTCGGCTTGTGTACGTGGACTCGAAGGCCAATACTGCTGATATCTTCACCAAGGCGCTCTCGCCTAGTGATCATCAGCGGCACTGTACTTCTTTAGGCCTTGTGTCCACGTTTCCTCACTTGCTCACTGCTTGACATTCTTTGTACTGTACTTTATATATATCTTGTTGCTTGCTTGCTAGGTTTTGATCACTGTGTTGCTTGTCTTGTACTATATCTAGCACTGCATGTGAACTGGCCTTGTGGCCTTTACTTGTGCTCGGAGTGTGGTGACGTTGTGATCCACCCTGGGCTTTGCTTTGCTTTGCTGGACTGGTCTTGTGACCCTTTGTTCTCCCCCACTTTGCCTATGGGGGTGTGTTAAACTGTATTATGTTGGTAGGCTGTAGTGGGGTAGCCAATATGGGGTACAACCCCAACTAGGGTTTGCTACTTGTACCCAATTCTTCCATTCAATGCATCATTCTTGCCTAGTTCTTCTGAAAATCAGGGCATTTTTTGGATTCTAAAAAAGTGCCTTGAGGGCTCAGGCTGTCCCAAAACCTAGCACGGGCCCTGATTTGAGGCTATGCATGATTTCATCACGAAATCAAGATCAAGTTACGCAACGTTTATGAGAGGAACTTACAGTTCAATCAAAGCTCGAAGAAGTTCTATAGGGAGGTTGTACCTTGGCAGGAGTCTTGGTATGGCTGGTTCGCTTCGGTTTGGTTCTCTCGAGGTTCGGAACCTCAAAGTTCGGAGGCAGCCCCACTGCAGGAATAGCTCCGAGCCTCTACACTCAACCTTGGGAGCTGCCCAACCAAACCGCCCCCTCTTCGAGCCGAGAAAAAAGCGCAACAAGGAGCCCACCAAAACCAGCGACAACCTCGGGTGCGAGCAGGCTCGCGAAATTGGCTTGGACACAAATCGCAAAACCGCTCGAAACCCTACCCGGCCGCTCTAGAGTGACCGTGAAACCTGAGGGAGTCTGAAAAGAGTTCAATTAGTGTTCGAAACCCTACCGAACCGACCTAGATTGATCGCAAACGCTCTGCATCTGATTGATCTAGAGCCCTAAGAGCTCCCCGTGGCGCAATACCCGCCTTTCTGTGGCTGCGGTGTTCCGCTTTTCCCTCCCCAAGCCTCGATTCTGTCTTTCTCCGCTCATCTGCCTTCAAATCCACCACACAAACCTCCTTCCACTCACACCTCCTTTCAAAGCTCGTTGCTACTGCCCTCCTGTTCGTCCTAGTGCTGTAGACTGCCTCATCCCTCCAGCTCGACATTCGATATGGCCGACTACCCCTCGTTTGTTTCCGCGCTTAGCTATTGGAAGAACAGCGAGAAACAGGCAAAATCGTTTCTGCAGCGTGTGAGTTCCAACAGCACGAATCTCGTTCTCCCAGCCAAAGCTGCCGCGCCACTACGCTAGAGCTGCCAGCGGATGCTGCACCTTCGGATGCTGCAGCCTTGTACGTTGCAGCTTCGGATGTTGCCGCTTCGGATGCTACAGCTTTGGACGCAAATGTCTCTCATGCTGCACCTTCGAACCCTGCGGGAGCGTCGCATGCTGTCGCATCGCATGCTGAAGCGGCCGATGCTGCACCTTCGAATGCTGAACCATCCGATCCTGCAGCTGCGGAAGCGAAACTGTCAGATCATGCAGCGCAGGATGCCGAAGCCTCGAATGGCGGATTGTCAGATGCAGGCTCTTGTAACACTGTTGCATCGCATGTCGCAGCATCACACCTGCTTGTTTCACCACCGACGGTTCTATCCCCGGCAAGCTGCGCCAAGTCAGTAAGTGCGGTCGTAGCGTCGCGCATCCCGAAACCGAGCAAGGGAGCAGCGATCAGGAGGCGAGTGGAGGGAACGACACTGATTCCTAGGCCTAAATGCGCTGCACCGCACAGGGAGGTGAGGGGAGTGGAAGTTGAAGCTGCAGGCAAGCGGCCTCGCAGGATGTCCAAGGCCGTGCCAGCTGCAATCCCACGCCGGCCATGGCGCCCTTGACTGCTGCTTGCTTGAAAAAAAGAAAAGAAAAAAAGGAAAAGGAAAAAAAACAATCACTGAAATTCTTGAAATAAAAATGAAGATAATGGAGGTTGAAAAGAGGAGAGCTTGGGGTATGAGATGGAGGGATGGCATAAAAGGCATGTGAAAGCAGCGGAGCACAGCACAGCTACACGCCGAGAGCACTGATTGGGGGATGGGTGTGGTGTGGATGGGGAACATGGTGCAAAACCCTTTTTTGCGCACTGCTTCACAGCAGGGTGTTTGTGGGAGTGTGGTTGGTTGATGGCTGGAGGGGGTGAGGAAAAGCTGTTGTGCTGCTGTGCCTTCAATGCACCACTGCTACTAGGCTTGAGCGCTCCTGACGGTGGCTCCAGGCTCGAGCGCTCCTGGCGGATGGCTCCAGGCTCGAGCGCTGCTGACGGATGGCTCCAGGCTTGAGCGCTCCTGACGGATGGCTCCAGGCTCGAGCGCTCCTGACGGATGGCTCCAGGCTCGAGCGCTCCTGACGGATGGCTCCAGGCTCGAGCGCTCCTGAAGGATGGCTCCAGGCTCGAGCGCTCCTGAC